GTAAATATCACTATTATAACAGTTTTACGTACAATTATAGATATAACAGTACAGCCAGTGTCTATTAATACAACACTCAACTCTACTGTTGTCTTCTCTTGTGAAGCTGTGGCTAATGGCCTTACTGTTCAAGTTAATAATGTATCGGCTACTGATGGGCCTGTTATAAATAAAGGATTTAGTGTAACATCAAGCACTAGTGGTGGTAACAGAAGTGCAGCGCTACAAGCAATAGCTTATGATCATAATAATAATACTGAAGTGAGATGTGTAGCTGTTACTTATGATCCTCCTCAAATAGTACGCAGTGATACAGCAATACTAATGATACAAGGTTAGTGTGTGTGTGTGTGTGTGCTCAGTATGTACATGGGCTAGGTCAATCAAATTTTTATCCTTGTTCTATCTATTTTGGTTTTGTTATGCAGTGGGTGTGGCCCATTGTGTACATACATTCATCATAGATATTAGAGTAAATGAAAGGGATAGGAAATAATAATTAACAGTGCAAAACATTGAACTCCTTGATAGTTGAGTTCCTTTTTCATCACAGCACTCTTCTTGGAGTTATTCTAATTTTGATGGAAAAATCAAGAATTTTGTGGTCAAAAGGTAACAAACTGCCTAGTCAGCAATTTTTTGCTTAGCAACAATATAATCAAATGGCATTATTGCTACGCCCACGCGGAAGTTTCCAATCCCTTTCATTTACTCTATCATCTATGATTCTAATAACTGTCAATACTCTTTCCTTATAGGTCTATTGGCTAGTGTTGTTGATCTGGATTATACCTTTATTAATGGATCCAGTGTATTATTAACATGGACAGCTCCTTATACACTGGATAATGTACCTATCACTGGATACTATATAGTCAATGGATTAGTGAACATTACTACTACTAACAAGAGTATTATATTATCAGCTACTAATCCTGATCCTTGTATATTAAATAATGTATCAGTTTCTCCTATTAATGATGTTGGAATAGGTTCATCTAATAATATCAGTTTTTATTATGAAAGAGGTAATGAATATTCCTTTACTCAGTACTGGTAAACTACCTTTTATTGCTTATACTATGTGTACATATACATGCATATATACTTACAGATTAGGGATAATAGTACACCTACTAATGTACATATTTTGTGAAGACATTGTTGTTTTATAGTAGAGTAATTTTGATGTGATTGCCAAAATAATCCCGGTATAGCAAGGCTGCAAAAGTTGTGGCAGCCATTTTGAAGTGGGGTGAATCCTACTTAGTAACGCTACCGTGTTACTAATAAGCTTAAATGGCTTCATATACTCTTACTTGATATCAAGATGTACTCTTGTTGATATAGATACTTGGATTAGATAGATACACATGCCTGATTTGATAATTAAGTTTTCTTGTTATATAAACCTGCCTACATTTCCTGTTAGCTATCAGCAACACTATGCACAGACTTATACACTAACTTTGTTTCCTTAGTGTATTACTGTGGTTCATTAGCCACCTGTGTACCTATACCACAACATATGACACACACACATTCACTGTATATGTTTCTATGTTTTTATTGATAATTTTCACTTTCAGTTCCTCTCATTACTCCTCCTGTATCAGTGGTACCAGTAATTGATGGACAACTAATATCATTGAATATCAGTATTGATGTAAGTATATTCACATTCACACTATAGTCACCTTTTGTATAAGCTATTGTTCTATGAATGATTTGCCTTGTAGATAGATTATTGGACTCGCCACGCTTGCGTAGGCGGGTACTAAGCAGTTGGGTTGTCATTCTGTCTACACAGTTTAACTGATTTGTAAAAAAATTATCTTTTTGTCTGAGCAGTCTAGAGCTCTATTTCTTCTTCTAGCAACAGATAAAGTTGCTTTCTTTCATCTAGTTATGCTCTTGTAGCATCCCGTGGCACCAAAAGCTGTGAACTGCTAAACCAGGGGACCTCTCTCCAGGTGAGAGCTCGTGTTTCACTCTACAGAGCCGAGATTTGCTTCAGAGGTAGAAAATCCCATCTAACGAAAAATAAAAAGAACGATTTTGTCCTAACTTCGTTGTTTGTGAGTTACAGTTGCTCAAAGTTTGTGATTTAGCCTCTTTGAAATTTTTCAGGCGGCACTAGGGAAAGCAGGAGCAATCAAACTCTCTCAGTCTCTTTTAAATATATAGAAAAATTTTCTGTGCCAACTCTTTCTTGGAATAGAGCTTCAGATGCTATAATAAATTTCAGCTTTTCTTCTTTCTCCTACCCATGTGCCATGATTTAGTTAGTTGTTGACCACACCCATAGCTCATTTAATTATCATTATAAGTATGCAGTCAATAATAATAATTTTTTTTAAATTGCTTAAAATATCACAGTACAAGTAATACATATAACTCAGGTGAATTCCAGCAGGCAAGTCCATTGCACCATAGTGCTTCATCTATTGTATGTTTTTGTGTTAGATAATGTTTATTCTATTTATAGACATAATATCTGTTCTATTCATAGGTCAGTGAGTTATGCACTGGTGAGTATCCTAACAATACAACAGTTAATATACTGAATATTATTAATGAGATACAAGACAGTACCAGTATACCAACACAAGTTAATGATCAACTGATGATTACTGGAGTAATAACTGTACCTAATAATTTAAACACATTTATTGTTAATGTATCACTGAGTAATAATGGAGGAGAATATCTACCTACACCTTCTTTTGGATTTGGTAAATAATAAACTGTTACATTGTATACATTCTTTAATTCAATCCTTTCTTTCATTGTTAGGTAAAGTTGGTCCAGTTACTAACATTAATTCTTCAATTGACAACTGTTCTACTATTGATATAACATGGACTGCTCCTACAGTTGATGATAGAGTATCTATACTGCGTTATATACTAAGAATATATGATGCTATTACTGGTAGTCTAGTGGATACTGTATCAGTATACAATACCAGTTATCAGTTTGTGGATAATAATTTATTTATTCATCATTATACATATGTTATAACTGGAGTTAATGAATTAGGAGAAGGAATATCTAATAATGATACATTCTCATATCAAAGAGGTACAATAAACAATAATTACTGAACAAATGATTTTATGTTTATTTAGTACCAAGATCAGTTGAAGAAGCTGCTTCAGATATAATAACATATCATCAAAATACTGCTATTGCTTCCTTTAATATACCAGTATTATAATTATATTATTGTATATTAATATTAAAATACTATTACAGATTACATTGGAGTGTACTGGTGAATCTCCTGAGAATGTTACAGTTACTATACAGTGTAATGGAACTGGTGTTGTATATGATGATACTACACTAGTGGAATATGCTAAGGAACCAATGAATATAACAGGATCAGTACCAACACCACTAAATGAACAGTGTAATATCAGTATTGTATTTAGTAATGAGGCTGGTAGTAGTGAACCATTTATACTAGCATTTGGTAAGTATTAAGTAGTACTAATATTCAGTATAAGGCCACTCCAATTTGATTCCTTGTTTCCCATTACCCGCCCGCATGGGGCCGCATCGCTATTCATTATTGCGGTTTTTCATTGATTATACAAGCAATTTATACAGCTGATAATGAATAAATTTAATGAAAATGAACAAACCCGCCCGCCCGCATCAGGCCCGCCTCTGTAATGGGAAACTATGAATCTTATTGGAGTGGCCTAATGTTAATGTTTTTTTTCATTATTTTATAGATACCATTCCTATAATTAATCCTACACCACCACCTACTAGTACTAATACAACAGCTACTCCATCACCAATAATAACTAGACCAGGTTTACCATTACATATAAACTGACTAACTTATTCATTTATTGTATTTATAGTAGTTATTGGAGCTATTGCTGGTGGTAGTATTGCTGTACTACTGATAATAATAATACTGATAGTAGGGATGGGTATATACTATAAGAAGGGAAAAAGTTAGCATCTTTTTTAACATTATTATTATTATTTGTTTAAAAGAGAAGAAAGGACAACTACTTCCTGAAAGGGTACAATTTGATGGAGTAAGTTAATAACACACTCACTGGTTTATATGTGCATGCATGTACTATGATTGTTAGTGAATTATTTAATTAATGTATTTTTATTGTTTGTAGGGTTCTGCTCGTACATCTGTTAGTACCTACACAGTATGTTATAAAATATTTTTTTGAAATAATTAATAATAATTTAATTATAGTCTGAACATGGTACTTACAGTGAAGCACAAACTGAGGTAAAGCATTAAAATATAAACTTATTTAGTTTGTTAAGTTTAAATGTGTCTGATACAGTAGTAATTATTTGTTGATTATGTATAAAAGTATAATAAGTTTTGTCACAGACTATTTCCTAATTTGTCATTAGACAACTCTTGTTCCTGAAGATGATACTGTTCCAATGTCATATGATACTGCTCCTGTTGAAGCTAGTGCTGCTATACCTGGAGGTAGTGAAGTGATGGCAAAACAAGTGAATAGAAAGGAGGTAAACCATTAAATTTGTAAAATTTAATGGTTTATTTTATTTTAGAAACAACCAAAATCATCCACAAGCAAAAAAGAGACTACTGGAGCTATTGGGGGAGGAGCTGCTAAAGAGCCGATATATTCAGATTTAGGAGTAGCTCCTCCAACTGGTACTAAGGCATTACCACAAACTGAAGTGGCATCAGTCAAATATGCTGACATTGAATTAGTGAGGCCTAAACTAAAAGTACCTCCAGCTCAGTCTTATGATGATGTGGTAGTATCTACTGCTAGTGGTACTACTGTAATTGGAGCTACTGGAGGAGATACTAATCCACCACCAATACCTGATAAGAAAAGTAAAGGAGCTACTACTACTGGACAAGAAGGTACCAATGGTGGAAATGATGCTGCAAGGAATTTACCACATCATGTTAATGATGGTAAATAATTACATACTAATTGATATAGTTTATTCATTATCTTTTGTAGATTCAAATTTTTCCTTGGCTCCTCCTTCCCGTCCTCCTCCTCTGCCTCCTCACGCAAGTGTAGAGGGAAGGAGGGAAGGAGGGACCTCTACTGTTGCAACTTACTTGTAATGCGTGCTAAACAAAAACTGTGTGCTTACTTATTCAATATATTTAGATTAGAACTGAGTTATATTATGTTACACTTCAGTTTGATTGGTGATTTGTATTTCTTTTTTTATTTTTACTTTTATAATAATTATTGTCAGTCGTGTGCTTTGATCATTAATTTATTAGTGATCACGCCCTGTTTAATAATATCGATTAGCCCCACCCACTATATGTGCAGAAGAACTTAATGATGAACTGTCAAAGCTGCTCCTCTTTTTCACTGATCTTTCTCTCGTTTCTTATTGTCTTTTCATCTTATTCTCTAGCTACAGCTACCAACTGCACTGGTAAGATACTGTGCACGTGTAATACTCGTGTTAACATTCAAACAATAATGTAACACTAGTTTCATTATTATACAGTTATCTATTTTATTCTATTTTCAGTTATCTATATTATTCAGTTATCTATTTTGTGTAATTAATATTGGCTATGGTTAAGTATAATGTTTAGGATTTTGTGTATAATGTTATTGATGATGTTGTGTTCTTTTACAAATGAAAGTGACACAAAACTGAGAGAAATCAAGGACATATAAGATATATGAGATACTGTATAATCCCATCAGTTCTTTTCATTTCACAAAATAATAGGATAATAACGATAATAATGATAATGATGATCATAATAAGCATGGATTCATGCACTCATGCTGCAGTATATGATTAATTAACTGTGTGAAAAAATATACTTTTGTTTGTTAGTGATCTTTTATTAACGATATTCATCACCATTAATCACCTAGTCCCTTGAGACCAAGTGTCACCCCCAGCTGTATTCTAATATCTTTACTAACAGTACCTGTATAAAGTACCCACCAGTACTCAATGTTCAATGTACAATGAGAGTAATAATAGTTAAAAGATGTAATGGAGTACTCTATAGTTATGCTGCTTGTTGCAGTGATTGCTGGATTAAAGTTATTAATTAATATAAGTAATTGTTATTATTTATGTTGTTGTTGTTTAATAGTGTTAAATGTTTATTTTATCAGTGGTAGAGAGAGTGAGAGATTAATAAACAAACAATAATAATTGTAAACAAATAAAAATAAAAATAATATTAACAAAACTGTCACTTCTCTCTCTCTCTCTATCTCTCTTTACTATAAACTTTAAAATGGATATACTGTATACTGTATATCATCATTATTAGATACCATTAGTAGATACACTGTATACTGTATAGATACCATTAGTAGATACACTGTATACTGTATAGATACCATTAGTAGATACACTATTCCCTTTAGAGATGATATCCTATTCACAATACACACACTGTCTATTGTGATATATGATCAGTGTATTGTATATTACAAGAGGTGTTACCACTATATTGTGTTAGGATGATATTACATATATCTTATTTCTTTCTTGTATAGATGAGATTGAAATACAATTTAGCACAGATCTTGAGCCAGCTTATTTTATTGGTGATACACCACCAAATTGGAGATGTGCTGCAAGCCTGACGAATGAAGTTGATTGGTTGCATAATGACACTGTCATTAGAAATGGAACACTGCCAGGAACAAATTTTTTAATTTGGACTCCATTATATGATGTTAATCAAATCTGGTGTATATACTTGTCGTGTGACTACAATCAGCATTGGAATTAACTGTGGAAATAAATCTGTTTCGTTACATGTGATTGGTAGGTTAAGCAATGTCACACTTTTTAATGTACTGTATAGCTATTCTATTATACGTTTTATTGTATTTCCTTTATTTCCTTTAATTCCTTCCTCCTTTTTCTCCTCCTCCCTCCCACCAGATCCTTCATTAATAACAGTTCCATTACACCAGTACACAGTCATCAATAGCTCATACACTCTACAGTGTAACTCATCAGTATACACCATTGACAATACAACATGGACTTTAATTACTTCAAATGATCCAACACCTTATGATAACTCAACTGATGAAACCATAAGTCATACAATAGTATCAGGAACATTCAGCAGTGCTCAGCTAATGGATGATGGACTATATCAGTGCAATGTATCACTCTATGGGAGAAACAGACTGTACAATACTACACTACATGTTATTGGTAAGATTATTATTAATAATAATAAATCTATTTTTGCTTATTTCTTTTCTTTCATAGTTCCTCCAGTCATTATATCTTCTCCTCCACCCAAGGTCCTAGCCTTTGGTCCTAATATAACTAACTACACTGTCACATTTACTAGTACCTCACCTACTGGTAGGACTATAGTAACATGGTACAAAGGGAACAGTCCAGTATTACAAGAGACTGTTAATACAACCAGTGGTATAGGATCAGCCAGTATACCTGTATCAATGAGGAGTGATAGTGGAAGCTATAGAGTTAGGGTGAAGACTGATTTTGGTGATCAGCTAGTTTATGTACCTCAAAGTATACTATTGGTCAGTGAGACATCATACTCATTTGATATTGATGTAATTGGTAAGTAGATAAAATACTGTGTACATGTACATATATGTATGTACATATGAACATACATTCTATGTACATACATGTATATTTTATTATTATTTATTATTCTCTTTTTCTATCAATCCATGTAGTGTTTCCTTCTCATCCAGTGATTTCAGCCACTCCCTCATCATTCAGCAGTACCATTCATTGGGTGCATACCAATCAATCTTTGGATGATTTACCTGAGTCTATAAAGCTGGTCCTCTTACTGGATGGGATGCTGATTCACTCTGTTAACATATCAATCAATGATACTTTGTTGAACAGTTTTACTTTCGTTAATTTGATTCCAGCTACTCAGTATAGTGTGAGGCTGATTGTTGCTAATAGGGACAGGATTAGCTCTTCATCACTTCTGACTAACTTCACTACTTTATCATCAGGTAAGAATTTTTTGCAATTTTTTTAAGTTGCTCTAAAATCAAACCAAAGCCTGTACTATAGTACAGGGACTTTGACCAAATTTTACCAAAAATGACTAAGAGAGATTTCTTAATTTTTATAATTTTTCCTAATACATATACATGTTTTTATATTGTTTTTCAAGTTTGAGTCAATTCCGATCATATTTAATTTTTTTACAAATTTTTAAGCTCCTTCAAAATTGGGTCAAAGTCCCTGTACTATAGTACAGGGTCGCAGGCCAAATTTCACCAAAAATCACTAGGATACAATTCTCCATTTTATGTTACATTTTCTGCTATGTATACTTGTCCTTATGTATTTTAAATTATTTTATTTTATTTTTTCAGTTCCTTCCATCAATTCCTTATCTGCTGTTCGTGTCAGCTCACTTCTCTTCAACATAACTCTTCATTTTAATTATTATGGTGGGCGGAGCATTAACGACATTAAACTAGGATACAAGTCAATTGAAGGAGCTAATAATCATTATATATTCATTGATAATTTGGACTGGAAACGACAGGGGCTTACCCACACTGCTCTAGTGTCAATCAATGACACCAGCATACTGAGAGAAAGGATTATACTGTTTGTACGAGTTACTAATAGCAACGGGAAAAGTGCTGACTCTAACACTATACAGGAATATATAAGTAAAAATAATAAAATTAATGATCATAATAATAATAATATTAATAATAATAATTGTATAATTTAATGATGAATGTTATGTATTAATGATATTCCTCTAATTTCCCCCTTCTATTAATTCCAGAGCCCCTAGGGCCCCCCAGTCCGGTATCCTTCCACTCAATATCAACTGATTCAGTTATACTAGCAGTACAGCTGCCATTGATTGGTTCTCCTCCAATCCTCTCTCTCTCTGTCTCTCTCTCCAGCTTCAGACACAATCACTCACTCCTCATTAATGATAGGATTTATTCATTAGGGGAGGAGCTTGTGATATTTAGCAACGAGAGCAGTAATGGAGGGGGCCCACTGATGAGTGGTACCACTTACAATGTAACAATATCAGCAGCTAATTTATTAGGGTGGAGTCAACAATCCTCACTTCCTGTCTCATTCACTACCAGTAAGTTCTATTTTTAGTAACATTAGCCAATGATGTCATCCTATTCGTGTATTGATTGATGGGTGGAGTTCCCCTTCCCGTAAAAAGTGCAAACAATAGGTGTCGAGTAGTTTCAGTTTAGTTCCATTTAATTTCATGAAGTTGTGAAAAATGATCTGTATTATATTACATGTATGCTTTATCACTGATTATACTACAATAGTACATTATATTTTATACAATACTTATTCACTGTAATAATCATTATTTTCTTTTTATCACTTTTTAGTAATTGAAGAGTCGATACCGACAGCTAGTGAGTTCCAATTGCAACTTTTAAAAATATTTTTTGCAATTTCCCCGTGATAATTTTTGTCTGGGGAATATAGTATCATATTCTTTTGGGAAATTGTGTGCCACTAATGATGTACATGTAACTGCCTTTCTCTCTCTCTTCTCTAGCTGTTGCTGAGTCCTCAGGACTAGAAGTATCATTATTGATTGGCATTGGTTTGGTTCCTATTGTCTGTTGTGCTGCCGTTATTATTATTATTATATCTTGCGCTTGTTGTTCAATGAAAAAGAAAAATTGTAAAGAAATACCAAAAAATGGTTACGCAGTTACACCAGGTGAGATAGAGAGAGGGAGAGAGAAGGGGGAGAAACAGGAGAAATAAAAACACATTATTATTATTCATATTTTCCTTATTACAGTTGCTGGGAGTATACCCTCTAATCATAACAATGAGTAAGTTACTGTACATTATCATAATTTATTATTATTGTTATAATTTCTTTTAGCGTTCAGATACAGAAGTTTTTCTCGACCCCACTAGTTCCCAGACCCCCTACAACGGAACCGGCTGATACCTCAGCCTATGACTCAGTTCATGATATTGATACTGATTCTGATACAACGCAGAGTCTGAGCCCTAAATATAAATATGTTATATCTCCTACTCCATCAGAGATTGGGATAAAGGGATATGTTAGCTCAGTCCCTGGGAGTGGGACTTACATTTACGTGTAACCAAAGATCTTTATACTGGCACTGGTAAGTGTGTACAGAATAAGCTGTTTCTTTTCTTAGTATATTTCATTTGTCAGTTTTTGTCCAAAAAGCATAAGTAATATTGTTAATGATTCTAAAACATGGACTCCAAAATCATCCCTAATTTTTATACTGCTTAGTCATATTGATGTCTTTATGCTGTGTAGAAAGTTTTAGCTGATTCAGATCTTAAACTTTTGAGTTATGAGTCCCTCAAAATCCCTCCTGAGTTTGTATTGTCAGCCAATGCTTGCTTGAGTGATTTTTTGGCAATGACTGTATCAAAATGTATGTTGTTGTTGTTTATGTGTTAATGTTTGTTTGTGTTTATGAATCATTGTTATGATGTAACTATGATGTAATGTTTATTTTAATAAAGTGAGCTTGTGCCTGGTTGTCAAAATCCATAAAGAATCCAAATTTGATCGGAATCAGCTCAAACTTGAAACACAGCATAAGTACATGTATATGTATCAGGAAAAGTTATAAAAATCAAGAAATCTCTCCTAGTCATTTTTGGTGAAATTTGGCTGACGACCCTGTACTATAAGTACAGGGACTTTGACTCAATTTTGGAGCAACTTTTTAAATTCATTAAAAAATCCAAATTTAATTGGAATCAGCTCAAACTTGAAACACAGCATAAGTACATGTATATGTATCAGGAAAAATTATAAAAATCAAGAAATCTCTCCTAGTCATTTTTGGTGAAATTTGGCTGACGACCCTGTACTATAGTACAGGGACTTTGACTCAATTTTGGAGCAACTTTTTAAATTCATTAAAAAATCCAAATTTAATTGGAATCAGCTCAAACTTAAAACACAGCATAAGAACATGTATATGTATCAGAAAAAATTATAAAAATTAAAAATTCTCTTCTTTTCATTTTTGGCAAAATTTGGTGTACTATAG